TGTGCTTTATGACTCTATAACCATTTCTCATTGGCTAATCAGTAAAAGTAACAGGAAAGTGAGGAGAAAGAAATACTGCCTCAGACTGAAACTAGAGGCTTGTGTCTGCATGCTGAATTAAAAGAGAGAAAAAAAGTATCTGATGTGCTGGGACTTAAGTCAAATCTGGAGAACTCACAAAAGGCTATGGCATGCATCTTTCAAGGAATCCCCAAATAAGCAAAAGTTGACACAACTATATTAACACAGTAACATTCAACAAATTCGAATACATAATTTACGTGCAGTTCTTTACAGATTACAAAACAGTAACTACATTATAGCAGGAGCAGAAACGTGAGCATCATTTCGGTATCCCTTTTGGCAGAAATAACAGCTTTCAAACGTTTCCTGTATCTGTTCAGAGTTTTTCTAATGTTGATTTCAAAAAACTTTCCTCTCTCTTCCTATCAGAACTCTTTCACCTTTGAATTATTTTTTAGGGTTGTTTTTTTTTTTTGCAAGTGTGAGATCTCCTTGCAGATTTTCAGTAATATTCAGTTCTAGGGTGATGAAGGAGATTCCCAGACCTTTATTTTTCTTTATTTTATTATTGGTTTGGGGTTTATGTTTCAGATTGGATATTTCTGCAAGACTACAAGCTTTTCTCAGCTCACTTTCTTCACTGACTGTGGGACATTAGCTTCTAGATAATGTTGAGTCCTCTCCTCCTTCTATTTGCATGATACTGCCTGTGCAACTGTCTTTCACAAAATCTGAAAGGATAACCCCTGTTGTTTAATAGTTGCTAAGGTATTCCCACCACCACCACCACCAAAAGCTTCACCCTTTTATCTCCAAATGGCCAGACAGTTCAGCTTTGATTTCATTAGTCCAAACTACTTTGTTCCATAAAGTTTTCTGACTTATCAAGATCTTATTTTGCATATTATAGTATTTGGGGGTTATGTCAGAGAAAAGATTTCAATCTGGCATGTTTCCCATACAGACCATTGCAGTATAAGTAACATATATTGCACACCTGTGAACAATTACTCCAGTGTCAATTAAACTTTTTAGTATATCATTTTCAATAATCTGTGGGTTCTGCTTCACATATTGTACCAGTGTTTGGACAATTTTAACAACCATTTTTCTTCTAGAAATTCCTACTACATCAACAGCTTCATGAAACTTCCAATTCAATTGAAATTCCTAGTTGGAAGAGTTCAGAGATTTTTAAAACACCTTTCTCCTGCTTTGTAAGAAATATTTTCATTTTCAAAAGCTGCTTAGAGGAGCCCAAGGATTGGTGAAGAACATAGAACAACTATTATAATCTGAGATGTTAGAAGGGTTAGAATATTTGTTCAATTTGTTAAATGTAAGCCTAACAAAGCCATCATCTTTTGGTGCCTTATTAACAACATAAATGTTAAAACAAATACCTATAATGGAAGAATGGTGAAGCTGGTGGAATTGGCAGAGATGGTGAAACTGCCAGCCTTGATGAAAAAAATACTTTGACCAATGGTTATTTTTACTTGGAAACCATTTTTGGACTTTTTGCAAGAAACTAAAAAAAAATGAAAAGTTGATTTTGGGATCTGATGGTCAGAATTATATGGAATTATGGAAATAAAGCAGACAGATGCTAATCTTAGTTTGATGTATTTTTTATTTATATATTATACCAAAAAAGTCAGAAGTCATTCTTTTTCTATTTTTCTTTTTTCTCTCTTTTTTGCACTTTCCTTTATTCTTCCCTGAGCCTTTTATTTAAAAAAAAAAAATTCTGTTTATCTTTTACCTCTGTAGTTTTTTTGAAAATCAAGAGTTATGTAAATGTTAAAAAAGTAACTAGCACTGAATTTAAAGTGTCCAAAATTTTACACCTCAAATATCTGAGTCTGTAAACAAGTATACTTAAATACTATGCATGCAAATTTGAAGAAAATGTCATGTTTAACTTTATAAAGTTACATCGACGTCTGTTCATTGAAACGTACACTTTGATCAGAATGCCTACAGTTGCAACTGTAACCTCACCAACTATAGGTCGGCTGTAATCTCCCCCACCTCAATAGTAATTACAATTATCAACAAAATCTAAACTCTGTACTCTTTACCTTTCAATTAATGAGCCTTCTTTTATTCACAATCTTATTTTTACAATGGCTGAATTCATGCAATGAATTTAAACTGAGGTATTGAATAAGCCATAGCTAACTGGATTCATACAGCACACAAATCTAAATTAAACAGCATTACAAATAAATGAATAAATACTCAAAGGCTTAGCATACTTAAAACCCCACTCACAAAGCATTTTCAGACATTCAGTCCAGTAAAAACTCTGCCTACTTCTCTGGCATCTTTACACCCCCCCCCTTTGCTGCCCACAATAAATTTACAGAATGGCCTCCCAAAAAGTTACTTGCTATGACATGTCTCATCCTATACAGAAAGATTTTGGTTTAGTAAACCTCACCACAGCATGTGAGATGAGATGAATAGTCTTCCTCTTTCACAATATCTGCCCACTTCTCTTAGCATTGTATACGCAAATAGTTGGAAACAGCAAGGCCTGACCACAGTGGCATGGCAATTTTTTTTTCTTTTAGTACTGTTTTTAGGTTCATTTCACAAAGGAACACTGTGGTGCTATTCAGATACTTATACTAGTCCTTATTTACTTCTACACAGGACTGCATGAGAAGGGGAATTAAAGAGATAAAATGTTCTTCTTGCAGTCAGGTAATTGCTATAATATGTCTGCAAATGGATATTCTGATCCCACTATTCAGTGTTCCAGACTTAACATTTAAGCTACTCAGTACATTCTTTTTTGAATTGTCAGAGAATATAGGAAAAGGCAAACAAAAAAGTAATTAATCATGATTGTTAGGTGAAAAATGATAATTACTCTAATGAAAAACCTATTTAAAATGCAGCAATTTACTTATCAACCTAAACAGGTTTAAGTGCTTAATGATATTTGACAAAAGGTTGCTGAAACACTAATACTTTATTACTAATTCAGCCATATTCATAGATTCTGGTAAGATGCTCTTCTTTAGAAATCCTCTTGTTTATATCCCTTGATAAATAAAATGTCTAATTCCCATGGTACTTCCATATTCAAAGTATAAAACCTATGTTTGTTCCATATTTGTGCATAAATAAATAACTGGAAATGCATCTGCTTGTTGTGTGGTATCAATGTGCATTGGAGTTAATTGTAACTGTAAATTAATGTGTAAGAGACGATGTAAATATATTAGATCTATGCAATATATTCATGGATCTGTATTCAGTCTCCAAAAAAGCACCATGAAACACACAGGAGTGCGAATGTAGCATCTGTCTGCATAACAACCTTATGCAAATTCATTCTTTGGGATATTTTCACATAGCTTTTTCAAACAATAAATGCTCAAAGTTTTTTATGGCATGACCTTAAACATTGTGTTCATTTGGTTGTTGTGCCACTTTAACCATCAGCTGCCAGAACACAGCTGCAATATTACGTTCTGTAAGGATGCTTCCTATATTTGGGACAAATTCTAAGCTTCACACTTCTTTTTAATAGAAAGCAGGAGCTTTCAACAGAATTCATGCACTGCTTTCTTTGCTTACAGAATCTGAAGCAACACAGAACACAAATTAGGTTGTTTGAAAGCCAAGCTGAAAGCCAAGTTAATGTTATTGTTCAGCATGATCTGTTCTAAACACAGGAGCATGTAATCAAGTGTATATAAGGATCACATGAAATTCCCAACGGCAAATTCTTTTTCCTCATTCTAATATAATCCCAGATAGTGGCAATTGAGACTGATGGGAAGGATTACGTCTTTGTTTTGCTACTTCTTATTATTGCAGGTACCTGTTTAAGAAAACTAGTGGTTGGAAGCATTGGATGGCACCAGAAAGTCACTGGCCTTTTAGCAAATTGGCAAGGCCAGCCCCACAATGTATTTTCTCCATAAAAAACTACTTTAAGCATAAATATCAGTTTGGTGTGGTGATTTACGTTGCTGGCCTAGAAATTAGGAGACGATGAGTTCTAGTCCCACCTTAGGCATAGAAGTCATCTGGGTGGTTTTGAGCCAGTCACTCTCTCTCAGCCCAACTAATCTTTGTTGTTGTTGTGGGGGGAAATAGGAAAATATTATGTACACAAGTCTTACTTTCTGCAATCTTCCATAAAGGGCCTGCTCTCATCATAAAATTTAGAAATGTTTATAGTTCTTTGTAGTGTTACAAAAGAAAATTCATCCTTAAAATACAAAACAGAAATTGCAGATTAGAGTTTTCAGCCCCACTTGGACACTTTGACAGCTTGCAATAATTCCCATGTACCCACGGTTTTAATAGTGCCTTGGTTTTCCTTTCAAATCTATGCTGAATTAAAAGAATGGCATTCATACTTACGATGTACAATGAGTTTCTATAGTGGTAAAAAAAACTGATGTAAAAATGTGGAAGCTCCAATATAAGAAATTAGACTTGTTTCGATACAAACCTCAGAATGCAAAATTTTTCACTTTCTATAGTGATTTTCACAAGGAAAAGTGCCCCAGTGGCATTCTTCTTCCTTCTCTGTAATCCCCAATTATAATTCAGAGAGCAGGACAATTCAGAAATTTGAACTGTCTATATAACATTTAATACTAAAACAAATCTTTCACCAAGTAGGTAACTAGGTTTACCATAATTTGCCATAGTAAAATATTTAACCTGCCCTGAGCCAGAAATATTGGCTGGTACATAAGCAGCATAATTAGCCTTACTGCTAAAATAAAGTGATGGGTAAGTCAACATTTCAAAATCCTGTATAAAAAACAGCTGCATAATATTGCAGAACATTAAACGACCCAAACAGAATTGTTAGTCTGAACTTTATTAAATGCGAGTTACCAATAACATTAAATGCTGCAGACACTATTTTTCAAAGTGAAATGAAATGGAAAACTAAAAGGAGAGTTGGAAATTAAAATATATATATATTTTTACTGTACCTGGATCAATCTATCTGCCAAGGCAGCACTCTCCTACAGACCCAGAAGAGGGAGATCCAGACAAGGAAGGAAAGATGAAGAAAAGAAAAAAAAAAGATACAACAGCAGGGTCACACAAGCACAGAAGAAAAAAGATAAAGAGCCCAAAAGACCCCCAGAAAAGGAACTTCCAGAATTGTCTTAAAATTGCAGCATGTCATTTCCATCATGCAGATCATAAGAATGTGCCTGTGCATAAGGAATGACAAGGTGACAGAACTCTCAGAAGCAGCTTTACATATTAATTTTGCCTCAACGCTGCAAGAACTATCAGGATTCATAATTGGCCTCCTTCGCCAATGGACAAGGATCTCCTTGCATTTCAAAAGTCACACTTCCTTTGTCCAGAAATTTAAATAAGTCATCAGTAACAAGGACACTTTTAGGTTGTTATCCCTTTGTGGGCAATTAACCAAGATGTCCTCAAGTTAACTATTAGTGTATTTATGCGACAATAAAATACATCCAAGGAGTTTTTACATTTTTCATGAAAGCGTTTAATATTTAAACACAAAAGCAAGGTCAACAAGACGGCTGAAAAACAATGTCATATCAACCACAAAACAAATAAATTACTTTGGGTCCAAAATATGTGAGTTTACCAATTTGATCAAAGTTTTTTTGGGGGATTGGCAGAGAAACTACAACTAACATCTTTACAGATTAGTTTTCTATCTTAAGGAATCCTGGCAGCAGATCACTTTTTAATTATTTCCAGCAGGGATAGGGTGAGAAATACTCTCTTGGGTGCTTACATTAAGAATGATTCCAGAAATACATGTGCAGGGTAGTCCCTGAGAGGATGCACAAAGACTAATGGCTGGCATTCTGTGTATTGTCTACAGTCAACTGAGACAGAGAGCTGTGAAAGGCCTCATTTTTGGTGGCCAAGCTAGTCTGGAAGCGGAGGAAGTGGATTCTCATGCGGCTGGGTACACTTCTCACCTTCTCCAGGGTTTCAATTCGCTGTTTCAGAAGGCGGTTCTCAGTACGGAGCCTCTGCAAGCAAGATTAGAATCAGCATGTGCTCTGCTGCATGAGCAGGAGCTTTTGTCAAGTGAAAAACCAGCGTATCAAAATGTTATGCTGAAATCTTGACCACATGAACTAAAGCCAAGCATCATAAATAACTATTAGAGGAAAAGTCATGCCACATCCAGATTGAAGGATCTAAAGTTCAAAAAAGGGAATTCTTTAAGTTCACACATATACCCCAACAGAAATAAGTCGAATGCTTAAAATACATGCTCACTACAGATAACAAAGCTACTAATCAAGATGTCCAGGATGATATGAAGAGGAAACAATGTAACCTGAGTATTATTTAAGAAAGATTATTTTTCAGATAACACTGAGCATTACACATTACACCAACCTTTCATTTTGATTATAGTATTGCAAGACATAGACAAGAGGGGACTTACCTTGATTTCAATCTGTTCTTCCATTTCCCGGTTTTTGATTGCAGTATACTCTTTCTCCAGTCTAGAAAATAGAGAATAGAGTTCATTCTGCATCATACACAATATGGTGGCAGAAAAATGATGGTAAATGGATGGAAAATGCCCATTTTCTAATAGCCTCCATTTTAAGATTATCACTTTTAATGAGAAAGTCAGCACAAAAACTGCAGATTGAGCATATTTTGCTAACACATTTATGTGTTCAGTTTTTGTTCAGAGAAGTGTGTCAAGATAGAAAGGAGAACTGTGTTCTCTTTTATATATTGTCCTGGAACACAAACATTATGAACTGGTCCACACTGAGTTTTGCCTAAATCCTGTATTCTTTAGTAGTTAAGCTATATATGAGGAATAAAAATAAAAAAAACATACCGTTTCATTTTCTTAGGGTTGTATTTGACTTGATAGGCCTTTAAGATCAGCTTATCAGGACAGCTGTCAAACTGATGAGGAATCACCTTCTGAAAATACTGCAGTAGACAATTCCCAAGTGAAAATGCATCAAAGTCATATGGTCTTATCATCAATGTAATTTCTGACATTTTTATTGGACAGGTAATCCTCAACTTACAACCATTCATTTAGTGACTGTTTGAAGTGACAACATCTCTTATGACCTATTTTCACACTTATAACCACTGCCGCATCCTCATAGTCAGTGAACAAAATTTGGGTTCTTAGCAACTGACATGTATTTACGACAGTTGCACTGTTGTGGGGTCATTGTGATCAACATTTGTAACCTTCCCAGTCAACTTCCTACAAGCAAAGTCAGTGAGAGAAGCCAGATTCACTTAATGATTGCATAATTCACTTAACAACTCAATGTTTTGCTTAATAATTGTGGCACGAAAGGTCATAAAATGGGGCAAAGCTCCCATAACAACTGCCCATCACAAGACCCTGACCTGATGGGATCCTGGCCTGATGTGACCTCACCATCACAAGACCTACTGACCACATGAAGCCCTTATAAACAGAAGAACACTGATACTGACATCCCCTAAACTCCGCTGAAGATGTTACCTAGCCTGGTAACAAAACGTTCAGAAACCAACCCACAAGCTCAGAGAACGAACCTTCACTCTCATCCTACACCCAAGCTACAGATATTTGCCACTATTGCACAACTGCCTTACTTGGTGAGATAAATTTTGGGCTCAGTTGTAGTTGTAAATCCAGGATTACCTGTATTACTCTTTCTCAGCTGATTACATTGGATAACAGAGGGATGGTTAATCTCTGGAACACTTCTTGTGAAAAGATTCTTTCAAATATGGCCCATTTGCATTAAACTAAAATTGAATGCACTGAATTCAAATGTTTAATGATTATGAATTAAAATTCAAGTCTAACACTATGATAGGGCAGCTTCTAGAATAGAATAGGTACAGAGGTATTACTGACCACTTTTATTGTAGCTCATTAAAATATTCTAAGTCCAGATGCTTACACAAATGCACAAAGAGTAAGAAATTTCAGAACAGAGCTTTTTACTAGTTACAATCTTAAATCATGCCTATAGGATAATTCCCAACTTCAAGGAAAATTTCTAGCACAATACCTGGATAGAACACGTCTTTGCTAATATACAGGGTGCATTAGCTTACAAAGCCAGAGCCTAATAGAATGCAGTGTTTTTAATCATAGAAATTAGAAATTATTTAGATCTCTAAATCTCAGCTATTAATGCAATAACAATCATAAATCTTTTCTCTGCCTAAATCATTCTTCATACAATGTGGAAATGTTCAATACTCCAATTTCATAAATTAGGAAAAAATAGCTTAATTAGATCTCAGTTCTTTCTTTATTCCCTAATTCTATGTTGCAATGAGTAAAACATTTTTTCGCAGCCAGTTTATTGAGTTGTATAATGAAAAAATATACAATATTGTAGGAAGATATCTCAGAGGTATTATAGTTGTTTGAAGTAATTCTATATTTTTGAAGAAAAGTTTTCTCATAGAGATTAAATCTGATATATACAGGCTAGATTTAGCTCAAAGTATTTACCTGTTAAGCAAAAATAAACCCTTGTGGCAATATCACAAATGGAAATGTTTTGCAGTTATTAAATCTATGGGTCCGGAGCTTTGAAATGTACTTGTTCAACTTTGTAAGTTGCCAGTCATGTAGGTCAGATATCCCCAATTCCCGGGGCATAGATTGATAACGGTCTATGGTCTGTTAGGAACCAGGCTGTACTGCTAAAGCAAGCAAAGCTTCATCTATATCTGCAGTTTCAGCGCTAGCATTACCACCCAGTTCCACCTCAGATCATTAGGCATTAGATTAGAGGGTCATGCTCTTCACTGACCAATATATCAATGCTGGGCAGCAAAAAGTAGTCAGGAACCAGGTTTCCTGTGAAGATGCTCTTGGCAGATGGCAGTGTATAGATTTTTGAAAAATATCTTGACAATATACCTCTTCCATGGATTCCTAATGCAGCCAAAATAGTTTTTGTTGTTGTAGCAAGAGTATTGTTACAGGGAGACTACAGACACACTTCATTCTAAGCCATGATTTGTTTTAACCGATCAGTGAAAGATGCTTCAGTGACTGAGTTTTGTTTTTTTTAAAAAAAAGGCTATGTTAAAGCCACATAAATTGAATTATGGCTTGGTGCAGTGCATGAGCTAAGCTTTCATGTCAGCCTACAAAAGACAATGGAGAAACACTGTATTTGACAACTAATGTTGAAACCATCAGGAGGAAAGAACTCACAGCTCTCTCCCTATCTGCTACTCAGTGGATCTAAACCCATATGATTCTCAGGAATCTCTGCCCGGTATCTAGTATAGGTAATCCTTGACTTACAACAGCTCATTTAATGACTGTTCAAAGTTACAATGGCTTCAGAAAAAAATGATTTACAACCTGTCCTCACACTTACAATAATCACATGACCTCCATGGTCATGTGATCGGAATTTGGGCACTTGACTCTGGTTCACATTTATGACCAATTACATCACCCTACTATCAAATTATTGTGATTTGCCACATTCCTAGCTGGTCTCTGACAAAAAACATCAATTGGGAAAGCTAGATTCATTTAACAACTATGGTAAAATGGTAAGTAAAATCAAGCTTGGGCACATGGTGACTCATTTTATGATCATCCCAACTTACAACAGAAAGTCTGGTCCTAACTGTACTCCTAAGTCAAGGATTACCTGTAGGCAGTTAATGGATGTTCTCAATATTTGACATATTGATATACTGCCACAAAAAGATGGAAAAGACATAAGAGACTTTTTCTAAATAGAAAGAAGAATAAAAGAAACAGGCAGGAGGCAGATGAGTCATTGCTTCTCCATCTCTCTTGCCCTGGTCATTCTGAATGACTCAGGCTGTAGTTCTGAAACTACTTTCTAGGCCTTCATAGCCAGAGATTAAAATAGCTGATTCTGCCTCATCACATGCAATAACACAACATCAGTTCAGAACACAGCCAAGGCTTGGGTCTTTAAGTTTTTCTTCTCTGAAAACTGACTTGAGTTTTTACACTTTGGAACAGTGGTTCTAAAAGGCTTACATTTAGCATATAACTGGAATCAGTTCTTTATCTCAAACTATCTTCAGTCCTGCAAGTCTCTCCATTCATACAAGCCTAAATATGGAATTGCGGACAAATGAAAGTTTGTTGTATTAACACTGAACTATCTTTCCTCTAGTCCCCCAAACCATGATAGAACTGACCTGTGACATCCCTTCCATGTCCAGTTGCATCAGTTCAGTTTGGTTGAATTGCAGAAGAGCCATTCCTACACGGAAGATTATTTCCAATCCCTAAAAGACGTTACAGAGTTTAGATAGACTCCACCTGTAATTGAATTTCCTATGGTTTACATTAAAGGTCAAACAGTCCTTCCTATGTGAAGAAATGCAATTTAAATTACAAACACGTGATGGGAATCTGATGCTTTAGTTCCCCCCCCCCCCACAGAGTGAACGATCCACTTGCATATACCATTTAAAATATTCTTGTTACTGCTTTAACAAGTTATATCAAGAATTCTAAATTAAACATAACTGAGCAGACGTTTATGCAGCAATTTGTGTATTTACTGAAGCAAATATTTATTTATATCCCATCTTTATTATTTTATAAATAACTCCAGGTGGCAAACATACACAATACTCCGTCCTCCTATTTTGCCCACAAAAACAACCCTGTGAGATTTGTTGGGCTAGGAGAGAGTGACCAACCCAAAGTCACTAAGCTGGCTTTTATGCGTAAGGCAAGACTAGAACTCATAATATTGCTAGAACATTCTGTGACAAATCAATCTGAACTATTTATTCAGATACAATTTTTGGAAATAGATTAGACAAATCCATGGACTATAAGAATAGCAATGACTACTACCTATGTACTACTACTACCTATTACCTAATACCCCTTCTGTATTTTTAATTACATGTTTTACCTCATACATGAAGATGTCAAATACTCGTGTGGCCACAGGCAGAGGAAAAGTAGTGAGGAAGAGTGTAAGAAACCAAGATGATGCATACATAGAGGTGAGAAAGCTTTGGGAGCGGAAGTGGATATTCAACTCAGGTAGCTGTTCCTGACAGAAACATAAAACATAAATCTTAAATTATGAGAAACTCCAGACAACGTTAACTACTATACAGACATTAAAAGAGATTTCCCAGCAGGATTTTCAAAGTTAAAGTAATAGATACAGCAACAAACATTCCTAATTATTTGCTAAGCTAGTAAGGTCTAGTACTTCAGACTTCTGATGGATTTTAGGAATTAATCTAAAAAGGAAGCAGTTTATTTTTTTAAATCTAAGATTTGGAAATTTCTTTACCTGCAGCATGTATTCAAACTGATAGATGCAAAGTCCTAACTCAGCCATAGTGGGTTTGAACAATTCCCGTAATCTATACTCTTGCATCAGCCGTACAAATACACAGAAGGCCTCCTCTTCCGGCATCTAGAAGCAGACAATGCGTGTGCGTGAGTCTTTTTCAAACTTAATGAACGATAGAAACTTTCTGTTCAATATGCAGCACTCAAAGCCTAAATGGGAAGACTCGTTTTACTAATTATGGATTCCATTTTTAAAAAGGAAGTAAATAAAAAAAGACAAAATAAAACACAAGGAGAAAACATATGAGGAGAAATTCAAAATTATTATCAAAAGTTAATTTATAATAAAACGGATGTTTTTCATATAAAGGTGTTTTGACCGAGTCTGTGCTAACAAATCTGTTGCCTCCATTGTTCACCTCCAATGTATAATAACCCAAGAAAACTTTTCAAAGCAACTATGATTATTTACTGTGAATGGTTTTGAAAATAATAAGCATAGATATACTTTGGAACTTATTCAACACAGCCACATGTCTTAAATAGGATGGAGATTAAGGAAGTAATAAATGTGACTGTTTTTGTAATGCTTTTGCTAACTGCTACATTATATAATAATGTAATAATAACTCATTGCAATCAATACAATGCTTTTAAGCCATTGTAATTAAAATCAAGTGATTGATTTCACCTATTTACTGCATAAACAACACTACAATGTTTACACCATGGTTTTATGTTTTTATGGTTTTCTTTTCATGCTGTCCTTGAAAAAGATATACATCCAAAACATGGCAGACCTGAATAATTTTCTACAAGGGCACTTGGCTTTCCCCCCTCAGTTTTAAGCACCTACCCTCCCTTCCTTGATGACTACATGAATACATAACCACACAGTTTCTTGGCAACATAGTAAAATGGCTTCCCACTGCCTTTGTCGGGGAAGTTTTTGTACAGTGAGGGAAAATATTATTTGATTTCACTGCTGATTTTGTTCGTTTGCCCAGCTCATTACCTGTATAAAAAAAAACCTGGGAGCCAGAAATCTTGCTGATTGATAGGGGATCAAATACTTATTTCACTCATTAAAATGCAAATCAATTTATAACTTTTTGAAATGCGTTTTTCTGGATTTTTGTTGTTGTTATTCTGTCCCTCACTGTTAAATAAACCTACCATTACAATTATAGACTGATCATTTCTTTGTCAGTGGGCAAACATACAAAATCAGCAGGGGATCAAATAATTTTTTCCCTCACTGTAGTTCCCAATTTACTGATAAAGATGCCCTGAAAGTCCAGCACCTAAACCAGACACAAAGCCACTAATTCCCAAATAAATGCAGGCAATTATATTACAATTAATTCTAAATTATACTTTTTCTAGTATAGACTGAAAAAAATAGGTACCACCTATTACAAACTGACTACAAGGATCTATAATCTTCAAAACAGTATTTCATTGCGAGGGAAGGTCTAAAGCAGGGGTGTCAAACTGCCGGCCCGTGGGCCAGATGCGTCATCCGGAAGCTGCGCCCACCCCATTGCCGGCAATGGTAAAACCGTAACGATACGTTGTGTGACGTCACGAGTTTGACATGTCTGGTCTAAAGCCTTCCTTTCAAAACAATGCAGCAGAACAAACCAATCAACCTCTTCTAAAGGTAAGAATAAGCTGCTGCTCTATTTCATTTCAAGCCAGTAAAAATGTGAAACAACACTTATAAAATTTAACCAGCTGGGCCTCGACAGTTCATTAAAATAGCATATATTAAATATGCAATGTGAACTGACTATAATCTATAGAGATTGAATATTCAAATTCCTAGAAAACAAAGTACTTAGGTTCCTACTTCTAAGCAAACGTTTTGAATAATTAAAAGCTTTTAAGTAAGTTTATACTGACAAAAACATCTTTCTATATAAAACAAGAATTAAACTTGGTTCCTATTTTTAAATAATACATTCATGCTAATATTATAGTTTGAGAAACTAAATGAGAACCAAAGTCATCCACTTTTAGCCATGGAAACCAAGCAGTGATATTGAACCAGTTACTCCCCAGCCTTTGCAAAGTAGTTGTTTTGGGGGGAAATTGGAGGAGCATGTGATTAGATGTTTTGCTCTGAGTTTCTGAAAGAAATGTGGGATTAATAAATGCATAAAATAAATTACAGACTACAGGTCTGTAATGTAATATTTTGTAAGATAATGATCTGATCTAAACATTCCTAATGCCTGCCTGCTGCCTGCCTCCCTCCCTCCCCAACTCATTTAAGGTGACTCTGGATGGCTTACAACATTAAAATTTTACAACCCATAAATCCCTCCCCACCCCCAGCAACAGTAATCGCACAGCCTCTTGACTGGGTCTGTATTAATCTGGGGGGCCCAGATCAACAAACAGAACTATGTCTTCAAGGCCTTCCAGAAAATTAAGGTAAGGGCCTCACCTCCCCTGGTCTCACCTAGATGAATTTTCCTAATAGTTGGGACCCCCAATATACTTGCCTTCCCACTCTGGTGGGCTGGGTAGATGTAGCCGAGGAGGTAGTCCTTCCAATAACTTGGCCATAGTTAAAGGTGACAACCAGCATCATGAATTGCACTCAGAAGAAAATAAGTACCAATGCAGCTCCCATGAAAGATGTGACAAATTATAAATCTTGACTTGTGCAGACATATGCAGGCCACTCCATTTTGAACCAACTGAAGTCTCCATATACTCTTCAAGGGCAGCTCCATGTAGAGCACATTACAGTAGCCCAAACTGGAGATGACCAGGGCATGGGTGACTGTGAGGAAGAAATGTTGGTCCAGGAATTGGCATAACCAGTGCACAATTTGCAGTTACACAAAGAGCCTCCTCACCATGACTGCCACGTGCTCCTTAAGATTTCTAATGTTAAGCAGCACAAACCTGCATGAGTAGCAGTCCCACGATGAACGCACTACCTTGGCAGTACCCAACCTCACGGTCTACTAGAGAATAAGCCTGAAAGATAGGAATTTTAAACAAGAAAAAATTTACAGTCCACAATTTAGCTGTTAATTTTCCTGAAAGAGCTAAAACAAGATGCACACAACTATATTTTAAAACGCGCAAAGATTTTTGTGATATCTTGAAGTTTAGTCAATGTATTATTGAACAAGGCTTCATGAATCACATTTCTTTTTATAAGATTTATAAACATTAAACTTAGTCATAGAATTTTTCTTACCATGAAAACGTTTCAGATATTAACTATGGGAAAGTAACGAATCTGGGACTTAATTATCTTGGAAATTAAAAAATAATAATATCTTCATAATACAAAGATAGGTGAGGTGGAGATATGGTAGGGAGGGATTAAGATCACTATTTAAAAAAAACAAAGATAATAATAAATGCAAAATATTGTGGAATTAAGTATCAGAAGGTTTAATTGAAGAAAGATGCCACATACATTAAACGAGTGATGCATTTCAGGCAACTCTTGGGAATTTAAGAATTTGCATGTTCTTTGAATGTGAGACACTCTGAGGAATTATGTAATACAAGGTATCTGTTGCATTCCAGTCTTGACTTCTGGTGACCACACAAACAGGATATGTACAGTAAGTAACAAGGCTACATTGTCAAAATTGTAATAAAAGATGTAAAAGTTTAAAAACATTCTTTGATTTTACAGGGTTTAACAGCAATTAGTTGCCCCATTTGAATTTATTTTTTCTTATACTTGTATTATGCCTTTTGTTTCAGAAACTTAGGATTTTTCCTATTTCATTCCTGAAATCTGAGCTATATCCATAAGAAGAGAATATATGTAGCTCAGGTTGTTTTCTTGCAGACATTTCATTTTCAAAATAGGTAATATCGTCAGTGCTAGTAGGGAGTGGAGTTTGCTCTCATTTTACATACTAGTGGCTTGCCCTGTCAGTGTTGATGGGAGAAGTCTTGGTCGTTCTTTAATTGGGCTGTTTACTGTTTGCTTGTTCCTTGATTGGGGTACAGTTTGTTTCTTGATTGTTGGTCTAATCTTAATCTTAGTATTAATCGCTGCTCATCTGGGTGTTAATTGCTGGTAAGGAAGTCTTTTTATTTGGCTTTTTGATTGTCTCTTTTGAATGGTATATAGATGTTGTTTATGTCTATGCTCCTATTGATGGCCAATTTGTCTGAGTGCCAGGCTTCCACTGTAATTCAAAAAGCCACTTTAATGGAACCAACTGTAAACTAAGATGATACATACATAAATGTAATATCTTAATTTTCTTGTACATATTCCTCTGCTCTAATTACAGACACATTTCTATAATAGCAATAGCACTTAGACTGATCTACCACCCCACAGTGCTTTACAGCAGGGCTTTTCAATCAGTGGTACGCATACCACAAGTGGTATTTTGGCATATAGCAGGTGATACGCGACCCCCCCTAGACAAGTGTAGTGGGGGAGGGGAATGAGCTGAAGTGACCCAAGCCTAAGGGAGAGGCAGCTGGACTTGCAGGACTGTCTGGGCTTGGCAGAAGCCCCAAGAGCGCTGCAGGGCTCCAGCTGATTGGCGCTTCTGCAGCTGGAGATGAACTGAAAAGAAAAGGAGGGGGGGAGGAAAGGATATAAAAGGAGGTGGTTTTGGTGGGAAAGGGGACGGAGAAGGAACTGTGGAAGGAGAACTCAGCAGTCAGGGAAAGAAGCTGTTGTTTGAAGAAAAGGTCCCCTGGTTAGTTTTCTCCAGCCAGGAGAATGCAACCAGCGCTGATGAAATGAAAAGCCGGGAGATGAGCATGTCAGAAAGGAGGTTGTTTATTTAGTTCTGGGTCAGCTGGCAGCTTGATTGGGTTACCATAAGGATTTTTGTGCAGTTTTTACAGCATTTTGTAATTCAGGGGCTCGGTTTGTGTGCTTTGGTTATTGGAATATTTTAGTCTGTTTCACAAAGGCTAGCAATGAGTCCAAAGTGTTGGCTTCCATAGATTTAATCCCTTTAAACAAATGTAATTAGTTTACCCCCTTGAGTTTGGTTTATGTCTTTTAGCAAGTTTTCTTTGTAGGTAAACAGGCTTAGTTTAAGGTTATCACTTTTTGCAATTGCCAGAGCCTTTCAGGCTCGGTTGCAACATTGTGGTCACTGTTGTAAGTTGAGGACTACCTGTATTTCCTAGACCAGGGCTTTTCAACCTTTTCACAGATTGTATCACTTTTAGGACATGACAATATTTGAGTACCACCAGTACTTAGCAAGGTGTCAAAAACTTGATGACTAAAAAAAGGGGGGGGATTTTGGGTTTTACTGATTAGATTCATTTGTTGTTATAGAAATGGCTAGTTTATAATATTATGGAAAAGTAAAAAGTTGAGGTTCAATGTTAATGCTTCCTTCTACTGCAACAGAGGAAGTCAGAAGTCAATGCCTTTTCTTTTCTTTTTTCCTTCTCCCCCTCATTTTTTCCCCTTTTTTCCTCCCCACTGTGTCCTATTATTTGCTTTTGTATTTTTGTATTTTATTCTATAATCTAATAAAATGTTAGAAACAGTAGAAAAAAAGGAAAAAATACCAGCTTTAATTTCTTCGGTGGCAGTTCCTTTGCTGAATCACTTTCCCTTTGCACTGACAAATGTATGATGAATTTATCTGTATTTATTAATATGCACCACTACCAGGTGGCTGGTCAGCCCCTCTTCCTCTCTCCCTCTTCTCTCCTTCCACAGTGTGGTAAGAATGCAAACACACACACACACACCCAGTCTCTTCACTGTACCCTTAAAGACACAGGAATCAAGCACAAAGCAAGAAAGGCTCACAAAAGCCTCCCAAAATAAAGAAACACTAAACTCCGGTGTTTTTTTCTTTAAGCTGCCTCAGGTGTGTCACAATGTTGCAACCCAAGCCTGAAAGGCTCTGGCAATTGCAAAAAACAATAACCTTAAATTAAGCCTGTTTACCTACAAAGAAAACTTGCTAAAAGCCATAAACCAAACTCAAGGGGGTAAACTAATTACATTTGTTTAAAGGGATTAAACCTACGGAAGCCAACACTTTGGACTCATTGCTAGCCTTTGTGAAACAGATTTAAATATTCCAATAACCAAAGCACACAAACCGAGCCCCTGCATTACAAAATGCTGTAAAAACTGCACAAAAATCCTTATGGTAACCCAATCAAGCTGCCAGCTGACCCAGAACTAAATAAACAACCTCCTTTCCGACATGCTCATCTCCCGGCTTTTCATTTCATCAGTGCTGATTGCATTCTCCTGGCTGGAGAAAACTAACCAGGGGACCTTTTCTTTAAACAACAGCTTCTTTCCCTGCCTACTGAGTTCTCCTTCCACAGTTCCTTCTCCGTCCCCTTTCCCACCAAAACCATCTCTTTTTATATCCTTTCCTCCCCCCTCCTTTTCTCTTCAGTTCACCTCCAGCTACGGAAGCGCCAATCAGCTGGAGCCCTGCAGCGCTCTTGGGGCTTCTACTGAGCCCAGACAGTCCTGCAGGTCCAGCTGTCTCTCCCTCAGGCTTGGGTCACTTCAGCTCATTCCACTCCCCCGCTATACTTGTCTAGGGGGGGGGGTCGCGTACCACCAGTTGAAAAGCCCTGTCCTAGACTACTTATACTGATTTAGTATGAGAAACCTACAATACTACTATTGCTCATAAGAGACAATGATAAAGAGAGGAACGAAAGAAAAAATAATTGTGGTAATAGAGGAGACTGTAAACATTCACAGACAGATTGAATATATGCATACATTAGTCACAACAAAGAAAGAAAAGTTCTGGATATTCTAAATAACTGTAATCAAAGGGGAGGTGACTTAATTTTCAATGGTAACCAGCACCAGTTATACAGTGTGAATGTTGTTGAAGCTCATGGAATTAGTTATACATTGAGGTGTAAATGAAATATTGCCATGAAAATTCAAGAATCACATGGGGAAGAGCAACTAGTAAAAAGGAAATGTGACAGAGACCATGGAAAGAGTTTCACTAAAACAAATAGGACTGTGTGTGTGTGTGTGTTTGTGTGTGTGTGTGTGTGTCCCCACCACCAGAGAAGGCCATTGGGTGACTCTGGGCCACCTGCCCTCTCTTAGCCCAGTTGTTATGAAAAATCAGAGAGGAGTGAGCTATTTCATTCATAGAAACCACTCAACTCATTAATTATCTAACTGTGAATATATAAAATCAAAATGAAATGGGAGAGTGATAGGCCTTTAGAAATTTTCATCAGGCTTATTAATTAAAAAAAAAGGCAAGGGACACACTGGGAGGGGATTCTGGGAATTTAAGTTCCAGCACTCTTGGAGGGCTCTTCTTTTGAAAAGACTAATTTTATAGTACGTCAGAGGCTGCAAAAGAAATATCAAAGAGACAAATCTGCTCATTTGTAGTTGTTATACAACAATTTGATCTTCCCTGCATATACAGTCTTACAAGGAAAAATAATTTATTAGCATAAACTATTTTTTCCAATTAAATTCCAATACAATTAGCCTGCAAAGCAGTTTTAGTATGATCTGCAAGGATAATTATCAACCAAGAAATATTATAAACATCAACTGAGATGTTAAATGAAGAAAGCTGACATTCTAGATAACAAAAACTCATTTGATTTTAAGTTGAGATGCTGAAGTTAATTTCATGAAATAGACCTCTATTACATATAAAGGAATATATGTAATTTTGGGGGGAAAAAGTATTGTCTTAAACTTGCCTTCATAACATTGAAGAGAACCTCCTGGCCCAGACTGTCTTGCCCCTTGAAGAACTCATGTTCCGGGTATGTTCTGGCAATGTCTCTTCTGATTAACTTTTCACAAGGAGAAGACATTTTCAGCAATTCTGAGTATTGATTCTTCACAGGCATGTCTGTGGCACTGCACAAAAGCTGCCAAACAATTGCTCGGAAATGGTGAGGGATGCCTTTCCTTATGAGTTCCTAAGCAATGGAGGAAAAAAGACAAGATACTCTTGTAATATTATGCAAAGCTGGTTCACAAACACACATTTCTATAAATGGATATGGTCAATTTTAAACCCTCGACATAAACTAAGAGGAATACTGGGTACAATACTGTTATTGCATCCAAAATTACATCAAGAAATTATCTTAATAAGGAGTCTCCAAATTAAGGTTTTCATATTTATCCCGAAGTTCTTCTGGAATATTTGAATCCACAAAATAAACATTCAATACCTTAACCAACTGGCTTTTAGAAAACAATTTATTTCTCCTCTGGTTTCTGCCCTAAGCTTTAAAGAGTTCTTGCATCACTATTTTACATGCATTTGTTGTAAAGAGCCAGTATTCAAGTAAGACACTTTATTCTTACATAAAAAGAACTTTGTTTCTCACTGCCTTGCTTGTCCAAGTCCATAACTATAATGCAGAAATATACAATCAAAAAAGTAATTATTGGATAAGATGCAAGTATACCAAATATAACAAATGGAGACATGTCTACATGTCTACTAAATCATATAAAAACACGTCTACCACCAGAGAGGCAATTACTTTCCTCACCTTGAGTAACTTCTCTTTTCTTTTCCGCCATTCTTCCCATTCATTGACAATCCTTCCCCATAAGATCCAGGTATCCTCTTCAAGATGGCTCAGATTGGATGATGCAGAAGAACTGGATACCAAAGACGACCCACTATTCCTTCGTGAGCCATTCATAGAGCGTAATGACTTTGAATCAGCTTCCAAAAGCCTTGAAAAATGTAAAAAAAAAAAAAAGTTGTCTCCTTACCAGTTACATAACTAGGTTAGAATGCAACAAATGCTCTAGAGCATAATGAAACTTCCACATAAACAAGCTTCTTCAAACATTTCAACTAAGAGGCATTATCACACTTGTAGAGATTAAGATTGTCAATCAACATGTTGAACATTCTCCTGTAATGTTGCATATTCATCAGAAACTCTTCCATCTCTGAAGAGGAATGGAAGGATACATGCATAAATTTGTAATTTATGCAAATTATTCTGTTTGAGGCCCAGAATAGAGAGAATATGACAGAACATGGCATACTTCTTAGTTGTAAAAGAATTTTAGCATATATTTAAAATCAAGGATATAGAGAAATCTTTCTATCTTTAGAATGCATTCTGGTTTTACCAATTCAGATGAAGGGAAACTGAATGGAAACAATACAGGAAAATTAAGGGCCCTATTTATTTTATTTTTTTTGCTTTATTGTTAGCTGATTAATATCTTGGCTGTTGTATATATTTATTTTGGTTGTTTTTATTATTTTATTGTTTTTAATGGTTTTATAGTTTTAGAATTCTAAGTCATTCAGAGTCACTTGGCTGAAAGAAATTGAATAAATAAAATTAAAGCAAACAGAACTCAGTTATTTTTTACCAATCGTTTTCAATTCCATTTTGTACAAGGTTGTACCATATACCAGTCTGAAAGGATTTTCACCTTTTAGCCAAATGTTGTACATTTATAGTCAAGAACAATATGTACAGTACTATACTTCAGTAAGTAATCTTATTCACAGCAATATGAATTTGATTATTCAGATTCTTACAACTTTCATTATATAAGATTTTTCAGTACAATAAAGCATTTGATGTTACTTTGCTACATGGTCATATAGCAATCAAATAAGTTATTAACAGAAATAAGCTAACCGAAGGAATGTATACTCTTTTACATGTTTTAAGCAACTGTCAAATCCAGCCATACTAATTAACTGAAGGCGAACTCAAACTAGGATTCCCACTAATAGCTGACTCAGAACTGGATCTGGATCTATCTAAGCCAAATTCTATCCTTAGTTTGGAAGGAGCTTGAGCAACACTAATATACAAAATGTAAAACAAAATATTAAGAAATAGGTAGGCATTCATCCATCCATCCCCATTCCTTTCATGTCTGATTTAGCATTTATTCTTTAACATCTATCTCATGTGAATTACAATAATTGATACAAGGAAAAACATTTAACTTCTTTGGAACACGTAACATTTGATTTTGTGAATGAGAAATAGTCAATCCTTTCTGAAATATTCCCAAATTGCACCTCTGGCTATCTTTTGATATTCTGGAGGAATTGAAGCTGAACACAATAGAAAGCTCAAGGAGACTGTAAAATGACTTTTAATCATTAATAAGAATGTTCTTTCCCTACACAGAGATTGTTCTATATGATTAAAGTTAATCACTAAATGAAATTGCTGGTTTTAAATGGGAGGGCCGACCTGGTATGTGTTACCAAAACTTAGCTGAACGTCAGTGGGTGGGTGGGGATGTTCTCTCTCTAAAATATGCCATTCTGGATTGCAGGTATAGTACCAGAGATGAGATTGAGGTGCAGCTACTGAATCTCCGGCAGCATACAGACTAAGTCCAATTTTTGTCCCATAGCAGCCGCAATCTGATCTGATATTATGTGATGTTGATATCAGGACCATGGATAAATCACTCCTGTCAGCCTCACTAAGTAGCCCAGACCAAGAAAACTTCTATTGAGACTGGGTATAATAATAGAATCTTCCAAGTCTGAATATGCTGTACCCTGAATTAGGAAAATGTCTGCCTTAGCCACTTACAAATACTACCTTGTTGCTCTGAACTTAAAATATTTCAGCCTCTTTTGCCTAGCTAATGATTTCTGCATACCTTCATCGAGGTCATCTTCCTTACTAGCTACAACTCTCCTTTAGCCTTGGGGATTCGCTGCAGCTATTCACCACTGTACAAACGGAGGGCCTGTTTGATTTGATTTGTTCCAGGCAACTGATTAATATGCAAGCATTCCAGAGGAAATGTCCTGGTTTTGTTGAAGCTTGGTTGCATGACCTTCGGTGTAGCCTTGAATGAGGGAGCAACAACAGCCTTAAATTGGATGACATCTGTGGAGTCCCTGTGGTTTTGGTCCCTGAAGTACTCCTTGGTTTTCAGAAGTACTCCAGGAGATGAAAGGACACAAGACATACCTTGAGCAAAGATTGAATCCAACCAAGCAGATGATAACATGGTTTGCCTTGTACCATTAAAAGTGGAAAAGCTTTATTCCTTTGTTCCTACTGAATCTGCAGAGAGCTGAGCAGCAGCCCTGTTGGATAACTAGTTCCTTCCTGGTAAGGAGGGGCCAAAGGAGCCCTTGTGAGATCACTTAAGTATTATTCTACACATCTGAATGATCAAGTTACTCAAGTTTGCTTAGAGGTGAACTCTGGCTGGAGAAGTCCTGTGGAACTGACAGAAACATTGGAGGGGGGGAATGGTTCCATTTGTTCTGAAAGAAGCAGTGATCTATGTCTTCCTCAAGAAGACCTCCTTGTATCCAACCTTCCCTTTTTAGGAAGTAGAGTACTTGAATCTATCCAGTTGGGTTTTTCAGGTCAGGCTATATTACTCAGATGGCATTGATCATACTAGATGGCTAATGAGGGAATGGGGATCCATCCTGATCCTTTCTGATTCTCTTGGAAGCTTTAAGTATTGACAATGCCATTGATTGGGGTATTATTCTGCACTGGCTCAGGAAACTGAAAAGGGTGGGGAAGAGTTCTGCAGTGGTTCTCCTTTGGAAGTCAGTTCAAGTTGGTATAGATGGGGAAAGGAGAGGTCTAGTCCTGGACCTTTGATATGTGGGGTGCCACAGGGCTCAACTCTCTCTGTTCCTATTCATCATTTACACAAAGCCACTAAGTGAAATTATCTATTGCCATGGGGTGAGGTATCCTCAGAATTGATGATATTCATATATATCTGGTCCACGCTATAGAAGTATTGCCATCAAGGTTTTTAATCCAGTGCTGGAGGCAGTGAAAGACTGGCTGGAAAGAACAGGCTGCAACTCAATCTTAGCAAGACTGAATGACTGTGGGTTTATGGGTCCCTTGGAACTGCAGAACTTCCATCTTTGGTTCTGGATCGGGTAGCACTCCCTAGAAAGAGCTGCTGCACAATTTAAAGTTATGCAGTGGTATATACAATTTTAGGCACATCAATATTCACCAATATAATATCACTGCTACATATGTTGCCCTGGCTCCTGGGTGCAATTCAAGATATGGTTATCACCTTTACAACCCTACACGAGACATGGCCAGGTTACTGCTTATCTCCAAAGGTTTCAGCCCATCTTACTAGCAGAGCCACTGCTGACTGTAAAGCACCTTTGTTCAAAAAGTTTTTAACTGTGCCCAAAAGGCAAAATAGTGCTTTGAATATACTATTCATTCAGCAACAAAATACTGTAAATGTTTAATAGAGGGATTCCTAGGAACACCTACTGAATTCTGGGTAAAGGAGTCTATATTATCCTTTGGTGTAATCCATTTTTCTACTCTTTTTCACCAATAGACACATTGAGCAGTCACTCTGGACATAGCCACAGAGGGCAATAAGTGGCTCCAACTTTGAAGGAGAGAGAATACCGAGAATACCAAGAACTGGAGAGGAGGAGAGAAGGGAACCAACATGCTAGGCCCAGGCAAGAGTAATTTGGGAAAAAAGGAGGAGTCTTGAGGGACTAGACTAGAGGGATGAAGAGCAAGGAGGAAAGAAAGGAAGTCTGATTCAACAGCAGCACATCTAGCTTGCTACTTTGTTATCATCTCCCTGGCAAACAAGCCCATTCTCTAGCACCCCTGCTGGTACACACATCATTGCTTGAGAGATATATGCCCTCATGTTCCTCATTCTCTCCCACATATGTCATCCTTGAAGTTTTCAGTATCTTTCTACTCAGGGAACAGAAGTTGAATTCATCTGTCTCCCCTCTCTTTTAATCTCTACTGCTTCTACAATATTCATTTTGACATAAGCAAGCACGTGCGGTTGGCGTTCAGAGTGAACTGGCTTTTAAAACTTAAATTTGTTGGCATATGTACAACTTGAATACCTGCTTGTGGCAGCCCTGCCTATCAGATCTGCTGGGGGAGGGGCTGCTCCAGGTCCACTCTCTGAGACAATGTCTGAGGGCAGTTAGACCAGTGGTTCTCAACCTGTGGGTCGGGACCCCATTTGGGGTCAATCGACCATTTCACGGGGGTTGCCAAGCAAGGCTGTCCGCCATTTTTTTTGTCCGCCATTTTTTCCCCTTTTCCGGCGGGTGCCTTACCTCCCTTGGGCTGGGCCAGCTGGTGGTCGGCCTGCTCCGTCTCTGCCGCTTGCCAGCTACGCCTCGGCCGGCGCAGGGGGCGGAACCACGCATGTGCGGCGCTCCCAGGCAGGGAAAGTCCTCGACTTACGACCGGTTGGGTAGTCCTCGACTTATGACCGGTTTAGTCCTCAACGTACGACTGGTTTAGTCCTCGACTTATGACCGGTTTAGTCCTCGACTTACGACCGGTTGGGGTCGCAGCATTAAAAAGGTTGAGAACCACTGAGTTAGACATTTATCTCCTCTGTTGTGGCTCCTGGCCTTGGGATGCAACAATCTCAACTCTATTGGCTTTTTGGAGGCCTATGAAGGCTGTTTCCTTAGGCTTTACAACCAGGACATTAATATAACTGTTGGTTTCTGAGCCATTTTAAGATGCCTTGATTATAATATGATGATCATTCTTGTTTTTAATGGCATTTCACACTATTTTATATTGTTTTCTTTATTAATATGGGTTTTAACGCATTGTTTGTTAGCCATCCAATATTACTTAAGATGTATGGTAAAATAACTTATCCAAGAAAAAGATACCTACCATGTTTTCCCAAAAGTAACCCCCCCCAAAGGGAGCCCCAGTTTGATTTTCAGGGGTGGGCATAATATAAGCCCCCCTCAAAAGTAAGCCCTAGTTTGGGGTGAGGATGGGGACAGGGTGGTGGTGACGCTGCTCCACACACCCTGCACCGGCTTACCTTACTGGTAGGACTGCCGCAGCCAGGCCTCCCACGCCGTTGCCGTTGCTCGCAGCAGGACGCCATCTGGTGCTTTGGACTGGCCAGAAGCACCATGCGGCGTCCTGCTGTGAGCAATGGCAATGGCGTGGAAGGCCTGGCTGCGGCAGTCCTACCAGTAAGGTAAGTGGGCAGGCAGGTCACGTGCCCTTCCCATGCCAGACCAGCCCCTGCAGTCCCGTCCTGGGCGGTGGCGGAAAGGGTGCCGAGGTGGGGGCAGCCAGGTCGACGCTCCTCCGGCCGGAGCGGGGAGACTTTGCCCCGGGGATCCAGAGAGGCCGCCTTTGCAGATGGGAGGCCTGTTTGAGAAGTGAGTGGGGAGGTGGCAGCCCAGGACCAAAGTGGCAGGTGGAGCGCCAGAGGCTTGGGGAGGGAGGATGGGGAAGTGGGCGGGCTCCTGCCATCAGCACCCATGCCGGCTGCCCCTTCCTTGTGGAGCTGGAGAGCTTGCCCACCACCACCCAGATGCCCTCGCTTCCCTCAGGAATTGCATTTCTTTCTTATCTGACTTCCACCCCTATGCTGTTTCTCCTCCTCGCTACCACGTGCACGGAAACAAAAGAAGTTTGTGGGGGGGGGGGAAGTCAATCAATCAATTCCAACCTCGTGAGATTTTTTTTGCGAGAAGTTGGAATTGACCTTTCCCCCCCCCCCACAAACTTTTGTTTCCTTGGCAGTGGATCGTGAAGGAGAAATGGCATGGGGCTGGAAGTAAGGTAAGGAAAGAAATGCAATTACTGGGGGAAGTCAGGGCATCTGGGTGGGGGTGTGGCAAGCTCTCCAGCTCCACAGGGAAGGGGCAGCCGGCATGGGTGCTGATGGCAGGACACCTGCTCGCTTCGCCATCTTCCCTCTCCGAGCCTCCGGCACTCCACCTGCTGGTTTGGTCAGCCTGGTCACCCCAACCTCGGCATCCTTCCCGCCGCCATCCAGCATGGCCGTCCCGGGGCTGCAGGGGCTGGCCTGGCCTGGGCACACGCCCCACCTGCCCTTTACCACCCTCCCTCCCCAAGCCTCCGGCGCTCCACCTGCCGCTTTGGTCAGCTGGCTGTCCCCACCTCGGTGCCTTTCCCCTGCCGCCCAGTATGCCGCCCCGAGGCTGCAGGGGCTGGTCTGGCACAGGGATGCACCCCGCCCGCATCAGTACCGTACCTGGTTCGCCACCACACTCTTACCACTGCTTAGCTTCTCCACCCCATGCACAAGCCCCGCCCCACAGCCTACTGGTACCGGCAAAAAGTAATCCCTCCCCGAAAGTAAATCCTAGCACTTACTTCAGAGCCCAAAAGAAAGTAAGGCCGAGTAGAATAAGGATTGTTGATATTGAAGCCGATATTTTTTTTATGCCCAATAACAATATTTTCAGATAGAGTAGAGGGAAGAATCAGAACTTTTTGTTATCTATGATTGTCTCCCATTGGGTAGTATCTATTTAGTATTTGTACATTAATCCTTCAAGAAATACTGTATTTAACTGTGTGTTTACAGGGGCCATCCAGTAAAACTGGAACATCTGGCAAACATTTAAACATTAAACTATTTATATCCTCTGGCTTTCAGTCAGTATCAGAGCAGTACTAGAACTTCAGAACGTCCTACCTGTTTTGTTCTTCCAACTTGGCTAAGAGCTCCAACTCATCCGGGCTCAAGTTCTCGGAGTCGGAAGTAGGGGAACATGCAGGCATGGAGTTGACAGAAGAAAGTGCTTCATGGGAAGAAGAGTCAGGGCTGACCGCTGGACTTGCCATCTCCAGCAATTTGAGAGTCACAGGAATGTTCATTTAGAAAGTATTCTGAGACAGTGATCAGGAAAGTTAAGGAATCACCTGTAAAAGATAACAGAGTACATAAAACAGCAGTAGTTTTCTCCCTTCTACTTTACAATTGATGCCAAAATAAGCTGTTCACAAGATTGGATCATAATCTTTGTAGTTCAAGACTGAATTGCTATTACGGAGCAAATAAGAAAGAAACAATATAACTGATAACCAAGGGTTCTGTCTTTCTTTTTACATTTATTTTGTGAAGAAGCATTTCTTTTCAGATAATCATTTGGATTTTCCCATTAATCCTTAGAAACATTTGGCTGCAAAAATTGTAAAATTCAGAGGAAGTAAACTGCTTTTCCAAAGACAAGCCTCTATAATTTGAATGTAAGTCACAAATTTTATCCTTACCAAACACTCAGAATAACTCATTGTATTTTTCAGCAAAATTAATATTATGAATATTCTACAAGTCTTCTTCAATATAGTCCATATAGTCACTTTCTGCTTGTAGCATTAAACTAAAAAATTAATAAAAGTAAAAACCAGTTTCTAATATATAATTAATATAATATAATATAATATAATATAATATAATATAATATAATATAATATAATATAATATAATATAATATAATAATATATAATAATATATAATAATATTATAATAATATAATATAATATAATATAATATAATATAATATAATATAATATAATATAATATAATAATATAATAAATATAATATAATATAATATAATATAATATAATATAATATAATATAATATAATATAATATAATATAATAATATAATATAATATAATATAATATAATATAATAATATAATATAAATACTAGATCAATAAAATTATAATTGAAAATTATACAAGAACAACAGGAGCAATTTGGAGATACTGCTGCTGCTTGAAACTAAGACAGCTAAACGGACCACATCATAAACGTAGATTACATTTGTCTTTCACAGCTCTGTTTCATACTCTCCTGACTTTAATCAAAGTGAAAAAAGCTTCTTCTGTTGTGGAGTTTTGATGCAGAATGCTTGTTTGAAGAAATCTGCCAAGCACTACTTTGTGAAACCATTGTTTCCAAATTGTTTCGGCCCATCCTATCAGATAAGGCAGACTAGATATGCTCCGGATGGTGAAGCAGTATCACCTGGTGGACCCCAGGAAGCATGCCTTCTCTGTCAGGGTGCTTTCCTCATGGACCAACCTAATGAGATACAGAAAATCTCAACCTTGTTGGCCTTCCAGAGGGCTGTGAAGACCTGATTTCTTCTTCCTAGGCCTTATGGTCAGAATGTTAATGCGCTACTGGCATGGCTATGGCTACATTTGATATATATGTGATTTTTTGGGGTGGCCTTGACCCAGTTGCTTTTTAATAGATTTCTACCATTTGATTGTTCTTCTGTTTCTGTTCATCATCCAGACTTTTCTGGGTAGACAGCTATATACATTTGCTAAATAAATAAATGAACACAGACTTTTTGACTTGTTCAAGTCTTGTAAATAATTAATTTTACTTGGTGTTTACCTTATTTGTTTTGTTGAATTGGTTGGTCATTTGGTGGCTTTCGCTATGTGTCATGCAGAGTGATTCTGCTTTAGGTAACTCAAAACAGTACCCTTACATTTTACAATGCCTTTTAGATGCTTAGCTCTCTTAGTTTTAGAGAAATCTGTTCCTTTGTTAAACATTTCCTTAGTTGCCCAGTATCACCACACTGACATCCAGCCACTGTCCTGTACTTGCAGGTATACTGCTCTACCAAAAAAGTACAAAGAAAGAAGCAAGGGGACTTGAAGGTCTTCTGAATGGGCGGCCTCCCGTGCCTCGAAAGGGCCGCTTGGCCTGGAATTGTTGCCTGGACTTAGGGGCGGAACGCTCTGGTTGACGATCAGGTCTAGGAGGAAAGGAATGGGGAGGCTGAGACCACTCCAACCCGGTCCCTGGACGAAAGGACTGCCTGCGGGAGTACGAGTTAGACCTTCTGTCTGCTCGTCTGGTAAGGTGTGTGAGCGTCTTACGTTTGTCTCTGTTCTCCACTAGGTAAGGGTTGAGGGCCTCTCCAAATAGATGGCTGCCACGGTAAGGGGCAGTTGCTAAGCACCACTTTGACTTTGCGTCTGCAGAAAAAAATGCAGACTAGGTTATCTAACTTAGTGATCCCCAACCTTTCCTGCTCGGCGTACTGGCAGCGGGGGGGAGGGGATGGTTTTGTGCGCGCATACCGCTTTCACAAATGCAGTTTCATGCATGCTCATCCACCACTTCCGTGGCCCAGATTCCAATGGGCTGTGGCCAGCACCAGGGTTTGGGGACCCCTGATCTTACTCATAGCACATAAATTTATTGAAATTTAGCATTCGGTATTATTCCTGTTCAGTCACACAACTGTTATTAAGAGGCCAACTTCCTAACACATAAATACAGAGAACATTTACTTCATAACTCCCGTAAATCCTTAGACTTAAGGATATAAATCTAGTAGTCTGGAACAACTATCAATAGTTTTGATATAAGATATGATGAAAAATTATCTTTTATTTTTCTATATAAAGATAAAATGATGTATATAAACATTTGATGGTGAGGATGTCTGAAAAAAATAAATCCACACAACAGTATTTTTAAACACTGATTACTATTCTGCTTTTCCTTCATGTTGGTATAAATAATTCCCATACCTCCAATAATTTTCCATAACTATTCTGTGGAGCAGGTTGCCCAAAATGCATAGTGAGTTTTCATGGCCTAAAAGTCACATGGGGCTGGTCTCCCACTGATAATACCTGAACCATTACACCACCGACTCTCAATGATGTTAAAAGAAGCATTATTTTAATAAACATTAATTAGTTTATACTTAAAACATCTTCTACTTTTTTGAATTCTGCTCAAATCATGAACAGTAATCTCTAATTTTATACCCCAGAACCTTCTATTATCTTTTGATTTTTATAAATTATAATTTCAATGCAACAACGCATTTATTCTAAAAGCTGTCAAAGAAATACAGTAGCCAAGTGTTTTCTCATACAACTGATGTTACTGCATTTTTTAAAAAAAAGTTTTTTTTTGGTACCAGAACAGATAAACAATGTTGAGGCTAAACAGAAAACTGATTAAACTTTAAAAGAAAAGCAATTATAAACTTAGACAAGACCTGCCAGGTATTCTAAAGAAAACAAAAAATGAACTATTTAAAGCAATTTTTTTTCAGTGTAATGTATTGCCTTAAATATCTGATACTGAGAAACAAGCAAGAGAAAAAAGGTATCTCTTAACTATGTATTTGGCAATAGCTATTAAAAGTGCCATGGACTACAAGAATCAACAGGTCCTGGAGGAAATAAAAGTGCCCCCTTGAGGCAATGATCAGCAAGGAGAAACTCAACATATATGGGGCATGTGAGGCAAAAAGATAATGGACTAGGAAAAAAAATTACACTTGGCAGGATTGATGGAAGAAAGGAAAAGATTACAGACATGGTAGATGGAGAAGATTCAGAGAAATAATATCCTTGGAAGATTTACCAATTGTTGCTATGGATAGATTGAGATGGTAAACTTTTGTCTATACAAACATCAAATGGTGGCCCATGATTCAATAGCACCTGACAACTAAATGGATTTATAGAGAATTAGTGAATGACGCAATGACTCTCATTGACTCCCTCGTCATCAGTTCTCAGGCTGAGCGGAAACCTCCCTTTCCTTTTTTGGATGATCATTGTCTCTATGCCCGTCCTCCCCTCTTTCACTTTGTTCTTCTCGCTGAGGGTCTTAGGATGCAGGTCATTCGATCCCTCCTTACCCCTACCACATACTCTATCCATTACAGTAACTCCAGGGGGGAGTTAATTGGAGCCTGGATAGAGTATGTGGTAGGGGTAAGGAGGGATCGAATGACCTGCATCCTAAGACCCTCAGCGAGAAGAACAAAATGAAAGAGGGGAGGACGGGCATAGAGACAATGATCATCCAAAAAAGGAAAGGGAGGTTTCCGCTCAGCCCGAGAACTGATGACGAGGGAGTCAATGAGAGTATACGGAGGAGAAACAGGAAAGGGTTGGATGCTAATGTTAAGGATAAGCCAAGAACGCAGCTTAATCAGCAGGGACCAATGACACGGTCCAGGAGCCGGATGCAGGCGCTGGGTCATCTTATAGGTCGTTCCCATTTATTAGCTTTAAGAACCCTGATGATGTCGGAAGTTTCCGATGAAAGCTCAGTTTTATTAAAATGTTTTCTAGTTTGGATTTTCCTGGTGGTCGAGATTTATTTGTTTGGTGATATGGATATATATATATATATATATCAATAAACAAACGTGAGCACCAGGGAATGCAATAGAATAATTTAATAATAAAAACACCTAATAAAAATGCCTAGCTTTCGTCGGCATCTGTCGACATCATCAGGGCTTACAATGCCGGTCATGTACACGGAGAGCTTATGCACCAGAGACAAATTCCTTGTGTGTCCAATCACACTTAGCAGAACAATCTAAGCAGAACAAAATGCTTGAATCAATACATTTCATAATTTATAATCTCAATATGCAATCTGTTTAACTGACTATAGGTACTGTAGCAAAAAGGGATTGGCAGGGGGGTTCAGGAAAACGTAATGTCCCATATCATTATGCTAGGTGTTTTGAGGCAGGCAGTAATTAAATCTCCTTTGGAAAAAAAAACATTGTGGATCCCAAATAGAGAATTGTTGTCTGGTGATTCATATTGCTTTTGAGTAGATTTCTGAATGTTAACAACTTGAGATATATTCTTGGCAGTACAGAGATATAAGTAAAATTGCTATGGTCTAGAGGAAACTGAAAACATAGAAGATATACGTGACACTAGATAATTGTTTATTGTTTTATTTATTTTTGATGTTTATTAGTTTACATTGTTCCTTGTGATCTCTTCCTTTGTTAATAAACAATAAAGAGATATATAGTGAAATTTTGCATTACAAAACTCAATTAACTGTGGCACAGGGCAAATGCTTAGGGA